AATCAAAACTAATTTGTTTGGTCCACTTCTGATTAATTATTTTTAAAAAGTTTACATTTGGTTATAAGAGAAAACAGATTAGGTTTATAGATTATAAGGTTATAAGATTGTAGATCTTGGATGGACTAGTTCATGCCTCAAGGTTTTTAACTTGCTGCTGCTTCTATAGGAATACAACCCTCCATTTTTAACTCCATAAAAGGTTCTTATGGCTGACCCATTCTTACTCATCATAGTAGGTTTTCCCCTACTACTTTAGGATTCATAACCCAACTCCCACAAATTTACTCTCCCTCTATTGTCTTGTTGCTTTCTTCGTATAATTTATCATGACTTATCATTGTTTTTTTTTTTATCTGTCTCTCTCACTAGACTGTAAGCTCCATGAGGCAGGCATCAAGTCTGCTGTATCCCCAGTGAAGAACACTGAAGAACATAGCAGATGCGTCTTCAGTGTTGGCACAGACGTAAATGTACAACCACTCTTGGAAAAAAGCACTTCATGGCTCATGCTTTCCTACAGGTCATCTTGGCACAAAATTTTATTAGATTCTTCTGTGAGCTTCTTCCCACAAACGTGATAAACATGTAGAACACATTTTTTAAAATTTGTCATTATTTAAAATTTTTAAGGCAAGCTGACTTTTTTTGGGGGGGGGAGAGAAATGGCTGATACCTGACTCAGCTCTGGGCATGAACTGTATAAGAACCTAGGACAATCTTATCATGTTAGAAAGCACAAAAGAAAAAAGGAAAAAGAAAAAAAAACTGTCAAGACTATTAGAGTCTGCTAGAGACTGTTTTGTTTTTGTTTTTGTGTTTTTCTTAAGGCATGAGGCAATTTGAAGGGGCTCCTATTGGCCAAAGATGGGATAATTTGAGCACCAACAATAATAATAACTGCAATGGACTGAAGCAATTCAAATACAGTACACTAAAATCTACAAATTCAGAATCTTACTTAAAAATGTTTAGCTTTGGAGTTTCTTAGGGCACCAACTCATTCTCCTGAAAATTGATAAATAGAAGAAATTTATCCTGCTTTTCCTTTGCTAGCTGTATTTTAAGTTAACCAAAGAGTTGAAGAGAGAACATTCTTCTGCATAGACAATTTCTAGTTACTAAGTGCAGAAGAAATTATAAAGAGACAAAACTGACAATTTGTAACTCCTAATTTTAAAAAAATAGATTAAGGTAACACTCACAAATGTTGAAAAACATCCTGTGAATGGTTGATGGGGAACTCTATAATGAATAAGTCAGACTGATAATGCCCGAACTTCTGATCAACTTAACATCCCTAAAAATAACACAAGAAGACATTGTGATTTTCTGACGGGATACACATCACATCACCTTCCCTATGTGTGTTCAGTACCACCTAGGAAGTAGTCTTTGTCAAAAATAAATGTGAATCTGCATCTAATCAAACCTCTAGAACTAACCATCATTGTAAATGACACTGTGAGGTTGCCATCAGCCATGTGGGAAATTCTACAGGACAAATGATGCAAATCCTTTAAAAAGAAAATATCAAATTTAAGAATGAGTGGGGACAAACTTTTTATTAAGAGATTCTTAAGAGACATATCAACCAAATTTATTTGTGGGCATTGTTTTAACCTGATTTAAATAGACAAACTACAAAAAATGGTTTTTAGACAACAGTAGAATAATGAACAATAATTGGGCATTAGCTCATATTAACGAATTATTGCTAAGTGTGTTGGGTGTGACAATGATATATGTTTTTAAAAAGTTATTTGTTAGAGGAAAGTACTAAAATAGTTACTGGTCAAATATGATGCTTGAGATTTACTCTGAAATACTCTAGGAAAATAAAAGTGTGTATGCTTTTGCGTGTGTGTGTTTATGTGTGCGTTAGAGAGAGAGAGAAGAAACAAGAATGACAAAATGTTGATGAATGTTGAAGTTGATTATTAGGAACAGAGGGTTCCTCTGCTTTTGTATTTGTTTGAAAGTGATCATGCTTAAAATTAAAAGTTGATTTTTGTTTTAAAATGTTTTTGCATGAAATGCAGCAAAAATGCAAAAGAACTTACGAACACTAGAAGAAAAATATTGAATGCATTCTCGTGTATCAACCAGAGGAAAATTTCAAACATTACGATTTCTAGAGGTCTTCCTTGGCCCCTCCTTAAATACGTCATCCTTCTTCTTTCTAAGTGATACTATTCTGAATTTTATGGTATTATACCTTTGATTTTCCTTATAAAAGTTTTTTAAAACTACTCTTGCACCTATACTTACATAACATACTGTTTAGTTATTTTTTCTGTTTTTGAACTTCATACAAATAGAATCAACGTTTATGCATTCTCTTGACTTGCCTTTTTCTTTCAATATCAATTTTGAAATGATCCATGTTGATGCTTTTAACTGCAGTTTATTCATTTCTGTTTCTGCAAAGAGTTCTAATGTGTACATATACTAAAACCTTTTAAATACATTCTACAGTTGGTAGACATTTGAGTTGTATTCTACATATTATGAACATTCCTGTACATTTCTCCTGGTGCACATATGAAAGAATTTCTTTAAGACATGTACCTGTTACAGTGTTGTAGGAAATATGCAAATGAAATTGAGGAATGCCAAATTGTTTTCTAAAGTGGTGGTTAGACCAATTTAAGTTTCCTTCAGCAAGCAGTGTTTTCAGATTTCCCCCCTTCCACATTTTTACCTACTCTTAGTATTTTTAGACTTCTTAATTTTTGCCAATCTGGTGAGCAAGAAATTGTATAGTATTAATATTTTAATTTGCCTTTCTCTCATTACCAATGAGTGTGAGAATCTTTTTATATGTTTTCTGGATATTGGTGCTTCTTCTGTGAAATACACATTCATTCTTTTGTTCATAATCTAGCAAGTTGTTTCTCTTTTTCTTATTATTTCCAAGGAATTCTTTATACATTCTGTACATTAACTTTTTGTGTTATATGTATTACAAGTAACTGTTTTGTGGCTTTTATCACTCATTATAAAATCCTTCAATGAACCAATGTTCTTAATGTTAACAGTCAATTTGTCAATCTTACACTCTTGTTCCTGTTATTTTACCAATCTTTCCTATTTCAAGGTCAAAAAGATATTCTTCTATATCATCTTCTAACAGCTTTTTACTTTTGTTTTCCACATCTAGGTCTTGATTCACCTCAATTTTCCCCTCCTCCCTTAGTATTCGTGAGGCAGGGCTCCTATTTCATGTTTTCCATATGGATTGCCAGTTGACCCAAAATCATTTATTGAAAAGTTCATTCTTTCTCCACTGCTCTATAATACTAACTCAGTCATAAATCAAGTGTCTATATAAGCCTGGGTCTGCTTTTGGGCTCTCTAAAGCAGGCTGAATTTCCATCATCCAGAAAAAACAGTAAGTAGAACAGTCTAAGTTTGGTACTTTCCCTTATTACCTCAAACCTAGAACTTCTGCGATTGTTCTCAATTTACTTCTCTTCCTTCCGTCACTCTTCCAAACCATCATTCCTAGTCTTCCCAGGTCCCTAAAGCACAATTTAGTTCATGTGAATTCTCTGTTTAAAAACATTAAAGGGGCCCACATTGGGCACTATTTTAGACTCCCCTAGCCTGACCGCGAACCACTCCATCTTACCTTCCAGATCTGCATTAACTTCAATAGTGCCTACAGTATAGCAGACACAGTAAATACTAGCTTCCTTACAGGATTTCACATAGGTAAATGAGAGGGACATGATTTGCCTCCTGGCATAGTCAAAATGTTCTCACCTATACTTTTATTTATTTTGTTTTTGTCAAATATGTATAATCTAGGACGTTCTCTAAATCATATAACCATTATAAGTGTTTCAGGTCCCTATTTTGTCATTGTTCTAAAGTATCTTACTAACCCTGTTTTAAAATGTTATCATATAAAAATATAACTGTTTAACAAAATCACGAATTCCAGTTGAGGTTAATTTACCTTGTACTATTAACAAAAGACTCTCCAAAAACCAAAATGACAAAGTAATCAAGGTCTATTTAATAACAAACACAATGTTTTATTACATTTTATTAGATGTGCCAGAACCCTAATTTGAGGATGCTTGCTTACCTATGCTATGTGTATGTACATTTTGGTATTAGCTCTCTTTTGGAGCTGGAATATAAAAGTCTTCTACAGGCAGCTTCGGGGACCAATTAACTCCATTAAATTATATCCAGTTATGTAGTGAACGGAACCACTGCTCGTCTGGGGCTGTCTAGAGCTGTGACAATTAGGAGACGGAGAGAGGCAGAGAGATTGATTTTATATGTCACCGAAGCACACTGCAACAGTATGCCAGCGTGACTTTCAAAATGGCCTTAAAATATTCCAAACTCAGGGAGTTTCCTTGCTCCTGAGTGGGAGTTGACAGACTGTCTGGCAGCATTAGAAACAGGCAGAGAAAAGCTGATGTCTATATTGAGTCCTCTAATAACATTCTTCCTTTTTGCGGCATCACCCCCTTAGAAGGATCCGTCTATTTGTTGTGAGGGGTGTGTGTGTATGTGTGTGTGTGTGTGTGTGTGTGCGCGCGTGTGAGCGCGCGCGCGCGCGAGTGCGTGTGTGTGCTTTGCCTCCCCTTGTGCAAGGAGCATGATTTCACCTCTCACATCTGGGAAAACCAAATCTAAGGAGGCTAACCCTCCCAAGGTCACCTAGAAGATTAGTCTTGTGGCTCCGGGTAGATGGTGTGTGGGAGGAACAGAACCCAGGTGTCCGGACTCCAGCTTTGTTGGGCATTAAATCATTTTCCTTCCCTTGAGAAAAAAAATTACTGGGGGGTGGGAAGTGAGAGATTAATCAGATTTCCTCTTTTCCCTTATTTCCCCTCCCCCTTACGAAGATAAAAACTCGGGAAAGCTAAAGAGGTGCCCGCCCTGCAGTTCTTAAGCAGGGTCCCCCCAATCCACCCCCACCACCACTCCCATTCCCACTCATTTCCCCACCCCCGACACAAAGCGATCTGGACTCCCAGGGCTTCCGCCAGTCCTACCGAGAGCCTGGGAGGTGAGGAGTGGTTAAAACTCAGCCCTCACCTCCAGCGGGTCCCGGGCTCGGCGGCACCCAGGCCCCGCCCCCGCCCGCCCTTCCCCCACGGCCTCGGAACGCCAGCCCCTCTCCTCTCTCCCCAGCGGGCGCACCCACCCCAGATGCCGCCTGGCACCGAGCGCAGCCGCCGCCGCCGCCGCCGCCGCCGCACTTTCCGCTTGTATTGATCACCTCTCAGCCCCGCGCAGCCGGCTCGTCCGAGCTGACCGCGGCCAGCGCGCCAGCCCTTGGCAGCCCCGGAGCAGTCGGGCTCCGGGAGGAAACTCCTTGGGAGCGCCCTGTCCGGGGTGCCCTCTGCGCTCTGCAGTGTCTTTCTTTCTGCCTGGGAGGAGGAGGAAGAGGAGGAGGAGGAGGAAGAGGAGGAGGAGAAGGAGGAGGAGGAGAAGGACGTCTGGTCCCGGCTGGGAGGTGGAGCAGCGGCAGCAGCAGCAGCAGCCGCCTAGGCAGCCGCCGCCGCCGCCGCCGCAGCCGGAAAGGGAGAGGCAGGAGAGCCCGAGACTTGGAAACCCCAAAGTGTCCGCGACCCTGCACGGCAGGCTCCCTTCCAGCTTCATGGGCAAAGTGTGGAAACAGCAGATGTACCCTCAGTACGCCACCTACTACTACCCTCAGTATCTGCAAGCGAAGGTAAAGGGGCGCCGCGGGGAGGTGGCCGCCGGAGGAGGGGGCCCAGGGGCGCGCGCGGGGTTGGTCCCGGGGAGGGGCGCGCGGCAAGCCCCCGCCGCCCCCGGGCGGAGTTGCTGGAAGGTTGCTAACTATAGCGCTGGCCTGGGCAGAGCCGGGCGGCGCGCGGGGCGGCGGCTTCCCGGGGAGCGGAGTGCGGGGATCGGGTTACAGAAAACCGCGGGGGGAGAGACTAGACAGGAAAGAGCCGCCGGCCCCTTCCTGGCCCAGCCAGTGGGGAGGGTCGTGGGGCCGTGCGGCTCCCCTCGCCGAGCCCTGGCCGTCGCCTGGCGTCCGCGTCTGGATCCGCGGGTGGCCCGGCTTTTCGACCCCTTTTCCAAGGGCCTCGCCCTGTGAGCTGTGACTCTTCGCTCCCCTCGCCGAAGCGCTGAGCCTCCCGCCCCCCCGGGACGCCCCTCCACCTCCCGCGCGCGCGATGACTGTGGCTGGAGGGGCGGCCGGGCCGGGACATTTTCCTCCCCGCCTCCGGCCCTGCGCGCCCGCCCCTCGCCTCTGATCTTTGTGCGGTGTGGCACTTCACCTGGTTACTGATTTCTACTTTTACGCTGGTGTTTTGGGTAGAAAAGTGGCCAAAGTTCACTCGCGTTCATTGATGTCCCTTTTAATCTCTAGAGGTTTTGCAAAGGAGGGACGATGGGCAGATTTCAGTGCAGAGAAAGAAGTGACTTTGTATTGGTTAAAAAAGAAACAAAAGCAAAACTACCTTATATGTTTGCAACAGATCTATTTCCAATGTTGCTTTTTAAAAAAAGTGACCTCGGCACACTCTTGGGTAACAACAGCTGATGACATGCAACCATATAAATTGCACCTGGCTTTCTAGGGACCCTGGATACCCTGTTAGTGGGCCTATCTTATTTTTACAATAAGAATTTGATGCCTCCCCAACTCATTTAAAAAATTTTTTGGGCCACAAAGACTGGAGATTTCACTGCTTTGGAAGCAGCCGCCAGAATTTAGGAGGTTGGAAGCTGGACGCAGCAGCCTTTTTCAGCCATTAACATCTTTCACAACTCCGGTGCCCTTCTGATCACAAAAGAATCAGGTACGGATGCAGTGTCCGAACTTTATTTGGGAGGTTGTAATCATGGCCGGCTTGCTGGTAGTTGGGCATTTCTGGCCTGGTACGAAGAATCTCTGACACAGCCTTTTCTTTCTTAAAATGTGTGTGGTCCACGTTTTCATGTACTTAGGACATAGCCCTGTATTTGTCTACCTAAAAAGGACACTTGTCAGTATCAAGACCAGAAATGTTGTAGCACTCCAGGGCCTCATTTTCACTTCACCCAATTCCCACTTTACTTTGGGTCACCAGAAAGCAGCAAAATGGTAGTGGTAGCAGGAAGGATACCCCTTATTCATCCCTCTGTGGTTCTCACAGTATTTCTTTTGAGGAACTTGCAAGAGATGCTAGTTTTCTGTGAGCTTCAAAGAAATTCTGTGGCATAATCAATGCACTACCTTTTAGATGTCTTATATATTTAATGCACTTGTTTAAATTATGCAGCATTGGGTGCCTAAAGGACAGCTTATTCAACACTTTACAATATGAATAATAAATACACCCACTCAGGTGAAGAAGAAAAAAAGCCTTGTTTCTACAGGCACATTTACCTTAGTAATTTTTATGTACTATTAGTAAGTTAGAAACCAAGTCCACACCATTTAATATAGCTAATGCGATGCCATTTGGCTTTTTTGCCCTGTAAATAATTGAAGAGAGAGACAAACGGCAAGAGCCTGCTCTAGTAATTAGGGTCGGATCCCAGAAAGCTTTATGGCCCATTTTCTGAAAGTGTGCTTCCTGCAAAAAGCATTTAATATTGATTTGTGTTGCGGTAAATGACATTCTCAAAACATATTTTGCTATTTCTACAATTAAATCTGAAATCCTATTATTCCGAATTCCTTTGTTTCTGGAGAAAAGTATACATACTCACTTGACCTATATAACATAGTATTAAAGTTTGGTGATTAAGTCTAAATTCCCTGTTAGACAAGTATCTTGATTATCTCACAGGGGGACATCTTCTAAAAATGGCACGTGACTAGATGCAAATTTTAGGTAAGCAGAGTTCCGAACACATAGCCCCTTTTTTTCCTCCCTCACGTATCTCTCGGTACCATGGTAGTAGTGTCGAGTCATTTAAAAAAATAGAGACTTTTATTCGTAGTTAGTTTAAAAACAAGTGTTGCCTAATCTACCTAAAGAGTTAATAAACTCACTTTAGGATCTGCTATCTGTCATGATTCTTGCCTCTGTGTGTGCTTTAACCTTCCGAAAATATGGAATAGAAAACATCACTCTGTTTAAAGTACAGTGATGTGTTTGCTAGGCAGAGTTGTTTTGAAACTTCGTTTGGAAGCTATATCAAAAACTGAAGAATGGCATGGTCATTTAAAAAGTGATATCTAATTTGTGCTCAAGAGATAGATGGGATTTTCTCAAATCCCATTTCTTTTCATCAGAAGGAATAAATAATACCAGATAAAATGGAACTTAAAAGTTTGTTTTGTTACCATACTTTAAAAAGTTATATATGCCAAGCCATCCTTCTTGCTTTAGTGATCCAGTCTGTTTTTGTAAATTTATTTTGTAATTTTCCCCATAAAAACCTACTAGTTACTTCCACATTTTATTAATAAAAATATACCATCTGTTGGGCTATATTGGAGCAAATATCCATATTGGTATGCTTTGTGCTTTGACAGAAAGAGACAAAAATCATTAGAAAAAGTAATATGTCTGCATGAAACATAAAATAAACTTGAGTGTACTATAGAAGAGCAGGACATGAGTGGAAATGAATGAGATTGTATAATTTTCATAATACCTTGGTGTAGAGTTACACAAATTTTAAGCAACCTGATTTCACATGCTGTTGGGTTTTTTTGTATTTCTCAGTTAGAATGGTCTTATCATAGCAGGTTCTTTTTTATCAGCTGACACATTCGTTCTGAAATGTAGTTTGATGTAGCTTTATAAATATAACATATATTATCCTAAAGAATTTTCTAAATTTTAAAATGACCTATGCTGTATTATATTAAATTTAATATCCACCTTTTAGCTACACAGAAAATATATGTTGATAATCTAACATGTTTAACTTAAAGATTTGTATGTACACATTTTCAACCAGTGGCTGCATTAATTTCACTTATTGTAAAAGCAAGCCTTGAGTTATGGTGTGTTTATTTCAAATATACTACAACATACATTATTGCCAATGCATGTATGCAAATGGTATGGGGATTAAAATACTCTATTTCTTTTGAAGAAAGGGAAGTACAAAATTTTCCTTCCATGATTAGTTAGGTACATATTTTGTACCAACTAAAAGCAATTTGACACAGTTGTAATCTTTATTCACGTAGTTCTAAGAATCTACTTCTATAAAATATATGGAAAGCTTGATTTTTTTAAAGTTTTTATGTATAAAGCAGTATTGTTTTCCATGCTAAAGAAATGTCTATACAAAAAATACTGTCTATACAAAAAATATGCTTTTTTCTAAAAAACAATAATTTTAATTTTGTTTTTATACCATTTTTACATAAGAAGTGTATGGCACAGAATATATCTGAACCTAGCTTTGGAATCTGAAAATAGTGAATGATATAATTTATTCTATTAATAAAGGCTAGTAGAACGAAGCAGTTTTTTGCATTGAACTTTTGCATGCATTTTTTGTTGAATTCCTTAACTCTTACTTAGTTGTAGCCAAATGAATATTGTATCAAACAATCTGTTTTTCCAGAAATTGGGAGTCCTGATTTGATACATAAAACTATTGTGTCTAATTAAATGGAAGTACACAGGCATGATACTGAAAGGTGGTGCACTTTGTGTCATAAGAAGCAACCACATTTATGAGGTAAATAAAGTTTGCTTAAATATATCAGTTTGGTAATGCAATATTTTACACTGGTGAATCAACCTTATTTCCTTAGGTGAGTGGGGTCTGATGACTGTCTGGAAGTGGTATTGGAAGACTGCAGAACATGTAAATCTTAAAATGAAGTTGCATTGTAATGCAAAGGGGAGCATCCTTCTCTTCCAATAGCTATTTCTTTTGAATTTCCCATACAACTTTTTTTTTTTCTATGTTGGGAGCCAAATCTTAAGCTCCTTCAAGGGAAAAGGAAAAGATAGGTGAAGAGAACTAGGAAAGTATTAATTTAGTATCAGTTATAACTATGTATACCTTTCAGATGTGGGGAATTTCCATGTAACATACTTTCAAAAAAAGAATTTGCACTGATACATTGCTCTGACTTCATATTTTGCTTAATGGTTTATTGAAGCCATTTGGAAATGTAGCTTTTAAATTGGGACAATAAAGTTTTATTCTATTTATTGGAATATTATAGAAAAAATATTAGAATACTATAGAAATAGGAATATGTCAAGGTACTCTCAAGTGGAAGTGTTTTATGGAATCTAAAATAGCTTATTTTAAAGAAATGTAGTAATAGCATGTCAGTTATTCAAATGCAGCACCATAACATTTGGTATAAAACCAAACCAAATATTCAAAAGTTGAACATTGGCTTGGGGATTTTATGTGGGATGAATTTAAATGTTCTGGTTTCTCTGCTGTTTTATTTTAATGAATAAATAGTAAAACCTGATGGAACTCAGCTGTGCCTCATGAGAGGCAGCACTTGGACGATGGAGGCCTACCATGGATAGTTTGGTGATACAGAGCAAAATGTCATTTTAGAACAAACAGTGTGTGTTGAACACACATAAAAATTTGAGTACATACACAAATTTGATAATAGAAACAAAACATTTCTTAATCTGATACATGAAGGGAACAGAAGAGTGTAGAGAGGATGGTGACAGCTAAGCCAACCACGAACTGAACATATATCTCCCATAATCTAATTTCTTAATGCATCTAGTCTCCTTAATGAAATTATGTGAATGTTTTAAT